CTGTAGTATACTAATCCTAAATGGGCACATCTTTAAAGGAAAGATGAGAACCAAACCTATTTAAATTAAATTTGAATTAACAAAGGGAGATTATATATTTATCTAAAATAAAGAAGACGGAAAAGTGCAAAAAATGTCTACAAAGATAACTTTGTTATAACTTTTTAGATAACTTTGGTTCAGGATAACCAAATGCTCAGTACTGTTTATAGCACAAAGGCCTTATATTAACAAAAAACAAACTCTTAAGATCTTATGATGTTCAAAGAATGATGTTGAATTATAAGATGCTTAATGTTTCCTTTCAGTTCTGTGACTATTAAATGTGCTTCTTTTTGGCACCACTCTGTCTTATATTTGCATTCCTATATCATAGCTAAACTTGATCTTGAAAAAGTAAGAAAAATCAGATCTGATTAATGTTTAGATGGGAGACCACCAGGAAATATCAGGAATGAAGCCTTGGAAAGGGGAAAAATCCCCAAAAGTAGCAATGGCAATTTAGTATTGTTGGATAATATTGTTGTGAAAAAGAATACACTAATGTATCCATGAAGTTACCAGGAGGCAAATGTGTCTCAAGAGAGATTTTATCTTTAGGGAGATTAATTTGGATGGTATGAATTTCAATAAGTGAGTCTTGCCTCCAAGTAAATATTCATCCAAGATCCCCCAAACCTATTTACTAAATTGCCTTCTGACCTAAAGACGGTAGCTATAATGCTACTGTACATCTAGATGTATTGTGAGAAATTAAGAGATAGTTTGACAAACTAGTTTTGCATCTCTGAAAACTATGAAGATAACGCAAGAAAGCATTTAAAATTCATGCATATTTACTTATTTTTTTAAAGCAAATAGAGAGCAGAGATGTATACTTATCAAAAACATCTCTTGATTATCATGAGTCCAACACCATTCTGCCAGCTGTTAAAACTTTTCAAACAGCACTTTACTGATCCATTCAATAGCACTGCATTCAATACGTGTCAAGGTTTTGAAAAGACTTACATTTTAAAGTGAAAGAAATTATGCTCCATTCAAGGTTCATGGTAGTTTGTTTTGTTTCAATGGTAGTTAGTTTGTTTTTTAAAGTATCCTATTAAATTGCTTTCTGCATATGCTTTGGAAGCTACTGATTCAAGCAATTAAGTCTTTCTTTAATTAGCAAGCATGAAGCTGTTGGTTATTCTGCAGCAAAATGGTTAAGGGCAAAACCTTCCCTTTAAAAAAAAAACAACGTAATTTAACAGCAGGTAGAAAATAAGCAAAATTGTTTCTTTGAATGTTTCTTCCATCACCATAAATTGCTAGAATGTTTTTGAGCGACTTATTCGAAGAAGCCAATGCGGTCTCCATCTGTATAGCATTTTAAACTTTCCTAAATTGGATTCCTCCCCTTCCCCGTTAAAGGATGGCTGACTCACACATCGCTTGGAGGAACCATAATGGAGGGACTTATTTCCATTCTGTTTGGATCCAGAGCGGCGGGTTTCAGAGAAGACTAGTTTTTAGCTAACCAAGTATAACCATATTGCATTCCAAGGTTATTTCAGGTTTGTTAATATTTGGAAAACAACCAGCAAATAGAGATTTTTTTTAGCGGAAGGTATAAATTATGACTGAGAGGAAGGGAACTTATAGCGCCAGTTATATTCCTTTAGCTCCAAGATTTCTATGCATATACTGAATAGTCAGAGCTAACATAAATCTCAGTGAGATAAATAGTAAAAAAAAACCTAACTTAATTATATTACAATTGTAATTGTATATATTACAATTGTATAATACAATTGTAAAATAAAAATTGAAATTTTTATTTTGCCAGCAATTTGAAAAACTTTGGACGTTCAATCAAGAGCATAGATCAGGATAATTAAAAACATTCTCTTAAACCTGAGAGTGATGGAGGATTTCTAAGAAAACATTTAACTGATTTCATCTCTAAATAAATAAGGAATGATGTATTAAATGTTTCCTATTGAAACTTACACCTGACCATGATGTTACCCAATTTTTTCTTTAAATCCAGTTCAGCTCTAGAGCAGCCTGAAGTTCAGGTTGAAATCCAACTTCATGTAATCAGCCCAATTGAAGTGCTGAACTCGTGTTTGTTTTATATTTCCATATTCTTAAGTGTTTTTTTTTAATCAATGGAATGATCAATTTTAACATGTTTATAATATGCTCTTTCCATAATTTTTCTTTTTCTTTTCCTCTTAGGATTTTGTTAGGAGAAAGATTTTGGAAACCAAAGAACAGAAACTAAAATCCAAAGTAAAATAAACAGATCACAGATACAAACATACAAGAAAACCCCTTTATTTACAGGTATCTTGTACTTTACTTCCACTTTCTCATTTTGGGAAGGGAAAGTGATAGAGAAAGTCCATCTTACAGCCTGGTCCCAATGTTTATCTGAAGTAAATCCTATTTCATTTGCAGGATTTACTTCTTAAGTAAATGGGACTAGGGTTCCAGTCTATCATTCAAATGCAAACTATGCAAAGCAATGATCTTAGGCAGCAGCTCCTTTTAGCTTGAACTGGCCTACTGGCCTACTACAAGAGATGCACCTTAGAAATCCATTCCTTCACAATGACTAGGCAAGATATTATTACTTCCTCCTTTTCTCTGGTCTTGTTCGCTGCCTGTTTTTCTATTTTCCTTCACAGGAGACTTAATCTCTGGATTCCAGGAAGCAAAAACTCTTAGCAATAATTGGGAAATCAATTATTCCAAATTAGTCAAATTTCTGATTATATTAGATGCAGAACCAAGCAGCTGCACCAAAATCTAAAGTAAGCACAGCCCAAACTTACACAAATTTCCTTAGAAATGGAAATTAAGAATTAGTTATTTTATACTGATATCTGGATAATCCCTACTCAGAGTTTGAAAGACCTTAAAGATCTGCCCCTTCACCCTGGTCTTTGGAGAAGATGACTGGCCCCTTTCTTTCTCTTTCCCTCTGAGTTTATATTCTTTGTCATTGTTGTCCTTTTGCCTTGTTTCAATTTTATTAATTTTGAATTGTTCTTTGCTTTTAAATATTTTTTTAAAATGCCAATCACCCAGAATCACTGAGAGCCAGGCAGCATAAAAATTATTATTATTGTTGTATTGTCCACCACAGAGAGAGCCTGGATACTCAGGCTGAATTTGGCATTTTTGTCTGCCTAGTGACTCCTTTCCAAGGACCTGGAATAGGCAGGTTTTGTTATTTGATAGGTGTTAAAGGTATTGTCACAGGATATAAGCTATTCAAAATAAAACTACCTTTGGTAATTATTATTATTATTATTAATTTGAGTGGAGCATATTTACTGCTTTTACAGAAACAATCTCTTTTTGCATGCATGTGTGTGTGTGTTTGTATTTTTTAAAAAAATATCACAATTACTAGTAAATTTACTCAACATATTGTACCCCCTTATACCTGCACATTATTGTACAAAAATAAGCTCTGAATGCCCTTCAAAATTCCCAGCTCTAGATTCTAATTTTGTAAGAAACATTAACGCTGCTCAGGGAGCAGGACAAATAGTTCCTTTTCAAGTCAATAGCAATTAGAAATTCTCTTTGATTTTTAACTGCATTATTGCAACCGGCTTCCTATGCTTAGGCCTTGGGCGATGGGTGACCGTTCAAGTCCACTGCCTGAAGGTTGATTAGGGCTTGGGTAGGGAACAATAATTTTCTTAGGATTGCTCAGCTGTCTATTTGTTCTCATTTCAAGTCACCACAGGGATAAAAGATTCCTGTCTAACCAAAGCATACTTAACTACTGTTATGGTATGATTTGTAAAAGTAGACATTAACGTTTTAATTTAAAAGTTCTTTACAATTATTTGTAATATCCAGATTTTTTTTTATTTCTTCAGTTGACTATATAACACAGAAAGTAAGGGGCAGTAAATGTTTAAATATTGTTAGCAAGTTTAAAGATACTTGAGTTGCTCCTTCCAGGTGGTTAAGATGTTATTCACACAAAACTAAACCAGGTCAGCTAAATAGCAAATTCATTGGCCCAACTGGCTAATGTTGGTAAGGGTGGATGAGGTGTTTTGCCATAGCATGTACTGCAAACTGAACCCATTTCAATAGTTTATGGCTCAATGTATCATGAAAAGCCAAACACTGAGTTAATTCAATTACCTGCATATTGTTTGAATGCAATCATAACAAATGGCAAGGAAAATATCTTTAGGAATAACATACCAGATTCTCTTTTTTTAACAGAATCTGGACTAGAAGAGAACGGGCATAAAAATAATTTTCTGGAAGGAATAGATTTTTCAGGGCCACGGATATTTTGCTCTCCTGCATTTTTATCAAGTTTGCTCAGGAGAGCTTTTCTTTAGATTGATGCCCTTTGTAGCTTTCTTTGTATCCAGTACAGGTCTCATTTTTGCATCATATTCTGGAATGCAGAGAGGTGGTTTAGGCCTTGAAATCAAATACTGGGAATTAATCATTATCATCATCAACATGATGGGTCTCTTCAATTCTGTATGATCTAACTGAAATTTTCCCTTCATTCTCAACATTTTCTAGTTCCCACATCTCATTTTATTGCATGTTTTTAAATAGTATTTTTATATCAGTATAGTCCTCAACTGCCTTAAATGTGACTTCTCCCCACCCCACCCCCAGCTGCTTCCCAGAGACAGGGGGGGGGGAGAGGAAGGGGGGGTAGCAGTTGACCTTCCTCCTTCCTCTCACCCCACTTGTCAAATCAGAAAGCCAATCTCATCTCCCCTTTAATTTTCTAAGAGGAAATTTTTTTTTGACTACTTGCTTTTACAATTTTAGCCTCATAGTTCCAGTTTTGGGGGTTATATGTACAACTCTGTAGTTAACTTCTGCACCATGAGAGTCAAAGCATACAAACACTTTTAAAAAAATCCTGAAACAATTATTTTGAAGGTTATCCTCTCCCTCTCCACCCTTGTTACTTTTGTAGAATCCCCCTTCTTATCCCGCTGTAATTGACCCACCTGGTGAAGTTTCATCAAGTGTAGAGAACGATTTTTGCAAGCCATCTTTCTTGTCTGCTTTCTCTTCTTCCTTATCCCCGTCTTCTCTTTTGCTTCCCACAGGTCTAGGTCTATAATCAGGTTTCAGCCGGACAGACACCTCGCAATTTCTTCCATCTGCAAAGTATGAAGGAGAAGGTGGGAAGCTACTTCGGGATAGATTTCCTTCGGCAGTAGATGACGATTGCCCAGAAACTTGTTTCGGACAGGTAGTTAAAGAGAGTTTCGGAAGGGAAACGGGCCGGAAAGTTGCCTTCGGGGTTCGACTTTGGCGGATAAAGAGAACCGACTCTTTCCTCTCCAGCTCGTGGAGAGGATCTTCTTCCTGACAACTTGGAGAAAATTTATCTGCCTCTACTTCCAAGCAGGAGGAATCCTGGTCTTTGCGTCCGGGACCGTACAGACCAGGAGAGCTGTTTTTACGTGAGAAAAAGTCATAATGAGGAGAACTTCGCCAACCGGGATGATGGAAAGGGAGAGGAAGGTACCCAAGTCCGGAGGAGGGATGACTCATGCCTCTTTACCCATTGAACCTCCGCCTCAACCCACGGCAAGGCGAATCCTCCCCAAACAGACGGTGCCGTGCGCCTAGTCCTAAAGACCAGCTATTGGCTTCGACAGGTCGCACAAGGCTAAATCCTCGGGAGAGCAATGATGTTGCACCCACCAGGATAGGTGCCCACGTGTGCGTGCCTGGGAGAGGAAGAACCTCCAGCAGGGCACTTATCTGTTGGAAAATGCGCCGGGCTCCCAGCCACTTCCGGCGGGCTAACCAATCCTTGATGGACTTGGCTTTTACGGACATCCCCCGGTGTCAATTTTAATGGCAAACTTTACTGCTTTGCGAAAGGATTCATCTTTTCTTTAAAAAGAAAGGAAGAAAGCGGGGAGATGGGGGGGGGAGGGAAACATTCGTGGCAGACGTCTGCTGCAATTCATCCCCGTCGCGCCACTCCTCCGACCGCTCATCCACTTACTCGACACGTAATCTAAAGGAGGTGCCAATTGCGCAGCCCTGTCTGAGCCCCAAACATTTTGATAGGCACTTGACCCGGCCTTATCTACCGTGCTGCATTCCTGGTCTGCATATCTGCACCTTTGTGAACCTCACTTCTGCATGTCGCTGCTCTTAGAAAGAGGCTACACGTAGACAGGACAAAAATTAGGCCTAGAATGAAAAGACTAGAGTGCATACCAATGGCTGTAAACAACACCGAACGTGCATATTCTACCTGTAGTAATAATCATCCATTTCTCTCAGGACCACCACCAAGTTTAAGTTTAGCTTTAAAAAACAAAAACAAAACATGTGTTGCTTTTGATGGCTTATGTTCTGTCAGAAGACACATCCTGGTGGAACATTTTAAATGAACAAACAAGGCAATATCTTCCATTCCTCCTTTGTCCAGATTATCCATTCCTCCTCAGCAACTGAAAACAGGATGTGCAATAGGAATGGGTTTGAAGCAATCAAATAATCATATACTTATAAATAAGTATATTTAACAACTGAATGTGTAAATGTGCACATCTATAATTGCATGTGCTCTTGTATATTTTTTTTTTAAGTAAGGAGATCAGGTGGTGCTTTAAGAGATGCCAAGAAGACCATTTCTCAACTGGAGGATGCAACTTCCACTGATTTCTGTCCAATATTCTTCCTGTATCAAATCACATATTGTTCTTGCTATGTAGAAATAAGTCAGTTAATTCACACATATGATTCTTCAGAGAGTTATACAATTGATATTAGCCTGAAAAGGGTTAAGTTTGTACGTTTAATTCAGACTGTATTCCCGTCTGTAGTCTGTCTTAAAAACTTCCATTGGATCACCATCAGTTCCTTCTCTCTTTCTCTTATTTGCTCTCTGTAACCGGAATGTGATGTAGACAAAAAGGAATGGAAGTAAAAGTAGCGGGTTAACCTGAAATGTCTGAAGCACGTGTTAAACAACTTTCTAAACATAGGCACAGGCAAGTCTGAGAGCCATCTACTTACTTATTCATTGCATTCAATGATTTACAAGCCTATAAACTGATCCATCAATTAAATATATGTGTGCAACTTCCAAAAACTACATGAAGGACATGGTTCTATTGAGAATAATTTCCCATTAAAATAATTGGAACCACATGAAAAGGGAGATTCATTTTCTCCTTATCTTTTCTCAATTTAATATTAACCACCTTCCTACATTTAGCAGGAAAATAAATCCGACTGAGCAAAGTATGACATTTCCAAGGAAAGTGAGATGTGCTCTTGGTTTTGTGCTTAGAAAAACTCTCATTATTAATAATATAGTTTATTTTGATCTTTGGAATAACACCCCATGTACATTTATTGGAAATTTGGGCTGTCTTTTGTAAGGTTTTGTTTAACTGAGCATTGCCAAATGTACAATCTAATCCAATTCTAGGAATAATTAAAACTTCTGGAACATCAGCTCAACAACAATGAAGGAACTGAGGCTGTTTTTCCTTTCATTGTCTTGGGCATGGGAAAACTGCCTCACCTTGAAACTGTTACTGATCCTTCAGGGGACGGGCTTGAACTTTCCTGCAGAACTTTCCAACTGTTCCAGGAAGAAACACTCTTGGATCATAAACAAACTTTCTCTGAAAGGAAGTTCTACTTATATAAAATTACTTTTACATAAACAAGGCGCAATCTCATGGGAAAATAGTTCCTGATAAGCACAGGTCAATGAAGTCATTCAATGCATGATAGCGAAATGAACACTAAAGTTCCTATAAGCTGTGAATATTGCTACACTGAGTAAACAAAAGAATCTATGGAGTAAAACCAGGCAATAAATTAATTAATCATATCAATCCGGATTAATAATAGTGAAATGTACTACATAGGAGACGGGAAAGCCACACATTTAAGGGCACACATTCATTTATAGAGGCTGATCTCACTGTTACAGATATAACAGTGGCAAATGGTTAGATTTTGGACAGCAAGTTTTCTATCGTGCAAACAATTTTATGGTGGGAAGAGACATTTTTCGATCTCAGAAAACCAAAAGTAATGTGTATCAGCCCTACATTTTAAACCCATTCCTTTGTCGCAATTTTAAAATGCCTTTTATCTCCATTTGAATTTTTTCCCCTCTGAATTCAAAGTGACACCACAGTCATGATTAAGTTTTGTTGATGGTGTGGTTTCCTGAGCAATTCTCTGCTGGATTCATGCATCTATATAAACCATGACTACAAAAAGCAATGTAGTTACACATTAAATGCTAAGCTGATGCCGATTATTTTTATATAGGAAGATAGATATTGTGCCTTATTCAACACTGTGTTCAAAAGTCTTTGCTTTGCACGTATGTGAAAAGAAAACAGTATGTTACAGATAGTTCAGCAAGGTTATTTTTACTTGACTGTTTGTTGAAAATATTTTGAGGAACTTTTGACCAAAGGATGTTGATTAGGGAGAAAGTTCATTGAATGCCTCAAGGCATACAGCACTGCAGAATAAATGAATTTAGGCTTATACCACATAACCACTAAAAGAGGGATCATATCAATTTCTCAAGAAAAACACTGCTGAAGTTAATCTGGCGCCTATAAATTAAGTAACACCTTATGAAAGTAATAGAGAGTCAAAGTCAGTGTTTGAGTTTCATTAAAATGTTCCAATCTATTATTTCAAGAAATCCCCAAATTTCCACAATTGAGTGTGGGGTGGGCTGGAATGGAAAAAGACACTAACATATTTTAACATCTTGATTTTCAAAATGGAAGAAAATTAAACACACAATTTTAAGTGAGCACATATCAAGCACACTTCATTTTTTGCAGGTGTTAATTTAAAATTCCTCTGAACTCCTTCCTGAAAATGTAAGAATATTCTGTATCCCCATTTTTGGAGAAACGTTCCATTGAATTCAATGGGGTTTCCTTTTTAGTAACCAATTATATGATGATTTGTAAAGTTACCGTCCTATGTTGACTTCCTTTGGAGAAACTGAAATAAAGACTACTTGTCTTCAAGGAGCTGGCTATATTGATGCATTATAAATTATTTTATTTACTATTATATCTAAAGAGCATTCATGGTCATTATGCACTTATACACAAGACACTGAAATATCTTATGTGTTATGAGCCAAGACTGTCTGTATCACATTTGGATCTGAATCGCATTTCCTGAATCTTATTTTAATCTCAGTAATTTGCCTCGAAAATGTAATGTGGAAGCCTCCTTTCTTATAACCCTGGGGAAACCCTTGATGTGTACCGAAACATATCTGCTTTCCTCAAATGCAGAGTTTGAAGAGCATTCAGAGGAATGTTCTGTATGTGTAAGAGAAGAGCTAACTGTCTATTTCCTAATTAGCCTCACACACACAAAATGGTTGCATACAGAAATACACAAACGAATGTTTATAATGTTTGCACATTTGAAGTGTGTGTGAGAGATGGGGGAGGGAGGAGGAGAGAAAGTGGGGGAAATGCAGAGAACATTATTCTAACTGCCACCCAAAGACTTTTGCCCTTTGGGGAATTTTTTCTTTTAAGTGCTCAAACTGGGAAGCAAACACTGCAAGCCACAAGATCAGTTTAGGATTTGAATTCACTGAAATTCAGTGAGACTTTGGCACTGATCTGCATAGGCCTTGAATAGAAAAAAAAAGTGCCTCAATGAAGTAGAGGTGGAGATCAAATTAAAGTTCTGTTGGTCTTAAACGTACCTCTGTGTGCCTCCCTCCAAATATGGTGGAATACAACACTCAGCCTTCCCTGCCAAGGGATCTTTACTGGCCCAGGAGTGAGAAAGCAAAGCTTGGGAAGACAACTCTCCCTGTGCAATATGGAAACTATTTTAAATAAAGAAAACAGTTGAAATTTGGATCCTTCTCCCTTCTCCCAGAACGAAGGGAGGAAGTACACCAACTGAAGGAAATCTCTGCACATAGCAGACAATAGCTAGCTCCACTTTTTCTTTTACAATGGAGAACTTGGGGTATGTATGTGTGTGTATGTGTGTGTGAGAGAGAAGTAAAGTTTACAATCCCTAGCCCTCAGATCATGGGCACTAAACAAACTAAGCATTTTAACTACAGTGGCCTTAACCAAACTATTGCAGATTATGGGAGTTGATGTTTAATACCTTTGAAGAGCAGCAGATCGAGAAAGTATATCCAAGTATTACTAATTAATAAATTTAGAGTCATTTACTCTACTTTTTGAAAGCCCTCTGAATTAAATGGTGGCAGCAGCTGGGTTATTTTCTCTTCTTCCACCCCAATTTTGAATAAAGAGAAAATATCTGTATCCCATCTCTGCGAGGAAATAAAAAAGCAAGGGAAACTGGCTTAAATTGAGTCCGAATTTCCTAAAAACTCTTAACCACAAACACTGGTTCAATGCAGCTTTAAAAGGAGGTCAATTGCATGAATTTACTTCCCAGTTATCATTAAAACCATGGTTAGACTCTAATTCAGGGAAGCTTATTCCATAACCATTTTTATTCTTTAAAGTTCCACAAATGTTTTCAGGGATTTTGTGGCAATTGGATATCAATGGGATCAAAGTCATGACAAATTGGACTAGAAAAGAAATATAAGATTAGGACTTCGTTGACATGCTCCAACAGTGCTGTTTTTAAAAGATAGGAGTCTATCTTATCCTTCAGCGTTTAACAGGCTTGGCCATTTGACTCAACCTACAGCCTTCGCCCCATCTATGCCAAATCTCTTTTGTCTCCAAATGCTTTGGTTCCAAATAAAGATCAGCGAGGATGTTTGAACGTCCTGGCTTTTAAAAGAGGTTGTTCACGCAAGGCAAAATCAGACTATCCGCTGCCTTGGTGGGTACGATCTCCCGAGAGGGAAGTTTGATAGCTTAGCCTTAGACCCTCCGACCAACCCAAGCAAAAACTTGGGTTTCTTTCTTACTGCAGATCTTACAAAGGTGCTGCTCTCC